CCCCAAAACCCCAAAACCCCAAAACCCCATGAACGATAAATAATAAATGATAAAGGGATGTATAAAATAAGAAATTTGAATTAAAACAACTATATTCATAAATTAATGGAAATTTAATCAGCTCAGTATAAAAACATCAATCTATCTCAATAACATCAAATGTTGGCTTCAACAGTTTCTTTTAACAAGCATGATCCTTCAGTCTAGTAGTTCAAAGATCCTAAACAACCACCAATTTATTTAAGCCAAACTCATCAGCAATAAAGGGCGAACAATCACTACTAGCAACCACCATAAGAAAAAGTTCGACACTCTAATGGTGTTATGAATAAACATGATCAGGATCAGAAGCAGCATCCTTATAAAATCAAGAAAAATCCAAGCACTCAAATGCACACACCTCCATTGTATTACTAAAACTAAGCCACTACAACTGCAGAGGAGCACAACCCTCCAACTTACTCTAATCCTAGATCTATGTCCAATTCCTCACACCCTTCTTCAACCAATCAAATCAGTAGCAACGGACTCTTGAACACAAACAGTAATAACTATGAGTTCCTACTTTCTAATTACAATGGTAGAGCAGGCAGTGATCCTGAACTTATCGGCAAGCATGAAAGTAATAACGAAAAGCACTATAGAAATGAAGAAGTTATGAGCTAGGGTTATGATAGACCAGGAAGATAGCAATTTTAGATAGATACCAAATATGAGACGCACTCATAGTAGCCAGTAAGCAAGTCTTAAATACATCCTTAAAACCAAAATCATCAAAATCCTAGCAGGGATATTAATATGTAAAGGGATGTAGTGGTTAGAGACTACTAAGAATACTAAGAATAAAGTGAATATGCTGACAATGATGCTGATTACGAGGATTAAGAGTAAGATTAATAGCAATATCATCATCAACACAAAGTGGAGAATAATATGTCCATGATCAATCAAAACTACCTTGATCAAAGCTCTGATTTGTATCTGGCCAAGGATATCATGGAATTGATGAGAGGAAGCATAGAGTAAGACTAGAACTAGCTTGATGAGGATAACTAAGAACTAAATAATAGTTAGTTCCCACCCATACAGTATAGAGTGTAGGATTAATACTTGAGAGACAGTTTTACTTATAAGCAGAAATTCCAATCTTATGTTCAGAACAGTCTAAATAACAAGCCTCAAATATCAAATGACCACATTAGAAAATATAACTAATCGACCTTCTCGACTATAACATAGCCACTTGAGACAATTAAGTATCCAGAGCACCATCTTGTATATAATAAGTACCCACAGAGATCAATTGATGCCACTTCAACTCTAATTCAAGACTCAAATGAGAGTGTCAAATAATATATTCCTCTTAGAGAAAACAAAAGCAAATAGAATGAAATCGCTAATATAATTAAAGGGCAAACTAAGCAATCAGAACTTACTATTCATACTGCAGCTGAGAAGATTATTGACTCTTAAAAGCGAATGAGAGCCTAAAAGAGAGAGCAGAAAAAGCAAGAAAAAAAGGCTAGGACTAGACAAGAAAGCAGACAGGAAATGCAAATGGTAGTAAATAATGAGAATGAAAACGAGTATACTGATACCTACACCACTAACACTCAGACTAGAACTTATTCTGGCTTAGGGGATGTATCATAGTCTTATAAGCTAAAAAACCAAACAAAGCTAAATCATCTGTTCTAGAGTTAAATGAATAGCAGAGCAACCTGTTACAACAAGGATCCTGGGTTTACTAGCGTAAGTGGACAAATGATTACTTCTTCTGATCAATAAAACTTTGGGTTGTATAGCACTGGAGACTTTAAAAGTTTTAATTCGCAGAGCTAGCCGAGAATTCAAACAAGAGGGATAATTGGACAGTAGATATCTAATGATATGCATTTGATCTAGAATGAATCTACTCATCAACCTAGATCTGTAATGACTCCGTAGCTCTATGGAAAGAGACACAATTAGCACCACTATAATAATAGAGTCCAAGAACCTTCAAGCGAAAATTTAATTGTTTAAAAATTACCAACTCCCAAGGAAAGCCATAGAGGTATTAAATCACATTCATAAAAGCACTCAGCTGCGAAACCATAATTAAACCATATCAATAATCATGATGTGATTCAGATCAATGAGTATTACAGATCGCCCTAGTATTTATAATGCCGATTATCTAGTCAACCTTAACCAAAAAGATAGGCTAATTCTCCTGATGATAGGGAAGATACTTAGCTATCTTATATCAACACGACGGATATCAGTGTGATTGAGCCACAGTTAAATAAATAGACAACAAGCAGACTTTCCTAGATAATTACAAGTACTCTTGATATTCTAAGACAGCAAGAACATCAAGAGTTTAAACTAATTCATGAGAAAAAAATCGCTTCACTTGAGGACATTGAAGCTCTTATGAAGCAAATGGCTTATGACCTGCGAGATAAATTCCATCATATAGTTAAACTCTAAAATGAAAGTGAAATTAATAAGCAGATGGCAGTAACTCTGACTGATAACCTTAGCCAGTCGCTAAAACAAAATGAAAAGCTAACCAAAAAGTACAAAAGAGCTAAAAACCGAGTATATGATTTGAAGAAGCAGATCAAGTAAATGATCCAAGATTAATATCTTAAGCATCCAAACTCAATGTCTCTCTAATCAATTCAGCAGAATACCAGAGCCTATGATATGTCAGGTCTGTCCAATCAGCAAACATTCGACAATAATAATACTAGTAATGACTATCAAATCTTGAGTTAGAAACAGTAAATTCCAAGTTTCAACAGTCATAGTAGATCAGGTAACGCTAACAACACTCATAAATCTGATACGCTTAATAACTTTACCTTGAATCAAACCAATAATAACCACATTTTAGAGCTTAATAAAGACATACAGAGGCTATTAGAGGAGAATAAGGGTCTTAAAGAAGAACTCTAGCTTAAAGATAGTATTCTAGCCTCCCTCTAAAACAAATTGTATCAAGATGAATAAACTAAATCTCATTCAGACAACTAAGTACAATAGCTTAAATAAGATATGAAGGCACTTGAAAGCATTAATAATCAATTGAACAGGGAAAACTAGAATTTGCTATAAACCATTAATGAGGCAAACTAGTCTAAGGAGGAACAGGAAAGCTAGATGAGAGATTAAGAGATTCACTTTTAATAGCAGCTTTTTAACAAAGACATTGAGCAAGAGAACTTAAGAGAGCAGATGAATGCTACCAATAGTATTATGGTGAATAGGAAATTGCATTTAGATTCCTAATCTTAGCAAGAAAGTTTAAATCAATTGGAGTAGGAAGAGTCAAGGAACAATTATATAAGCAATGAAAGATCACTATTGAATTAGGAAGTCATCTTGCATGTAAGTTTAAACAAAAATTTATGCTTAATCTAATATAGTTCATGAGACTCTTCCAGATTCCTGATTTGGCTGATATAGAAGAAGTATTTGCGAGAATTGATTAGATCTATCAAGATTAATGCTAAATGAATAGAGTAATTCAAGAAAATGATAAGTTAGTATCTTTTAAGAGCAGAATAAGCTAAATTCTCTAGCATTCCTAAAGCGACTCTTCCTCTTCAGACTATTCTTGTCCTTCAAGCAGTTCAAACTCGACTAATTGCCTTAAGAGTAATACTAACTAGCATCTATTCTAACAGAACTAAGTTCAAAGTAGCAGTCATTCTAGACAGGGAAGTAGGAAGCAGATGTCTGAAAAGGCAATGCTCAATCATATTTAGGAATTGAAATCACTTTCATATGATGCCAAAGAATGGTAGTTCTTGATTGGTCAGCTTAAACTAATACTTGGTTTGTAATAGAATCAGTAGGATAGCTTTATTGTAGATGAGATTTAAAGACTTTAGTCTGAGGTCTAGACATTGCAGGACTAAGTAGAGAATCAGCAAAAGACATTCGATACTTCAACACAAAAGGTAGGATATTTATTCACTAATATAATATAGTTTATTCAAAAATACATAGAGGTATACAGAATCAGTAGTGACTATGACTGTGATATCTTTGAAGTGCTGCATAATCATCTTCTAAGCCAGCAAGAATACCTCGCAGCAGTCAAGTAAATCACTAATGATTTGAGGAAAGCTCTGAATATGGACTCTAAGCTCAACAACACTAAGGACATTCTAGCCTGCTCCTTAATGTTTATTAAAAGGCAGAAACTGTCAGAGTAGAATGCCTATCAGTCATAGAATCAATATTAGTAACTACAGAACTAATCACCATAGGATTACAAGAATATGCATAACACTTACTCAAATCTTATAAGAGAATGACTAATTTTTAAATATAGCTACAGCAAGGAATTGCCTAAGACTTCTGAAAATACTCATGAAAATTTAATTATTGATTGATAACGATGCTAAAAATTCTAACATTAGGGGTTTTGGGGTTTTGGGGTTTTGGGG